TGTCACAAAATCTAAAGTCAAACGTGAGTTATAGTTGTTTTAAATACGATAATAAAATAATCTATTTTTGTAATTTAGTCTAAACTTAAATCCAATCAAACATTGCGTAAAAATTTAAGACAACTTTTTGCTGAAACCAATGATGAGAGGATTGCATCAAAAAAAGCAAAACTCCTCATCAAACCAGAGAGTGAACTCTTTTCTACACCGATAACAACTGAGATAACGGCCATACCAGTGGCCACACCTACTCCACTGAGGGCACCCACACCCACACCAATCGCCGAATCAAATGGCGAGCAACAGCTGAAAGCTAAACGAAAGCGTCGTTTGAAACCCAAAGAGTTATCGGAAGAGTCGCCCGAAAAGCGTTTAATTAAGTTAAGAAAACTTGATATCGAAAACCAGTTCTGTATTGACCCGAAAGCGCCGACTGAGCGCCTGTTGTGCACCCTTTGCGACGAATCCATTCTGTGTTATCGTTGGTCTATAGTGACCGACCACTTGAAGGGACGCAAACACAATGACTTTGCGGCGAAGGAACGCCTAAAACTACAACACAAAGACTTGCCATTTAATAGCAATATGGTGTCTACCAGTGCCTTGTCAGACTTTGCATACTTTAATAACCCGAATGGTGTGCACAAAGATTCTGGACCTTTGTATGTCATGAACCCACCGCTAACTATGGCCGACGCTATCAATATGAATGGAGCCACAGAATCACTGGCCTATCACTCGCAACACTACTTGACTGTGCCCTCACTCATGGCAACACACATGACACCAATCAATGGTAATCTTATGATGTTATTCGAGTACGATATTCAATATATTCATTACGGTATGCATTCATCTTATATTCAGATTCGCAACAAATGAGTTGTAGTGAAAACGGCCAAAACAAACCACACGATAGCTTAGACACACCGCCAGTGATGGACACCACATCCAACCCCTTTGGGTGCACTTCATTCTCCATATTGAATATAAATGATCAATAGATGACAACTATTTTATTAATTCAAACATTTACCGTATGATAATAGTGTAATCAGATTTGTTATTATAATTTTATTGTATTTTATTTTTAAAATATAATCATTCAAACGAAGCTTTAAACTCTTAAGCTAAAACAAAACAGTAAATTTACATACCGGTATAAAACAAATGGCAAAGTATAGTACCGTATGGTATGGTATGGTATGGTATGGTATGGTATGGTATGGTATGGTATGGTATAGTGCGATATGAGCACAAATCATCAACTCTTTGGTCATAGAGTTATCCATTTTTAGTTGAAAATTGTTTCAAATTTTGTTGACATAAAAGACAAAACTTTTTCAAATGCGAGTAATATATGTGATAATTGGCATCAGATTTGGAGGCATTCGTATGCAATCGGTCGATGAGTTCTTTGACAGACGGGTCGCGATTGAATCGGTCGCTAAAGTTAGCGAACCATTCCTTGCGTACGAGTCGTATAATGTCTTTGAGTGACGTGTTGTTCACATCAATGTCCAACATTTGTTGCCAATCCTTATCCCAAATGTCTTTATAGACGCGTTCAACAAATGCAAGTAATTGTATTTGGCATTCATCGCGATATATGATCCAATCGTCATATTTCAGGGGACAGTCGTCTCTTTCAAGAGCACAGCTATTTGGACGGTAACTCGAGTTCGTAGGCGTGCTTTTGGGTGTCAATGAACTTCTCGCACCACTTCGCAGTGATTT